AGCAAAAGATATGTCTTTATAACAAATCTGTACACTGTTATAAGGACAATGTTCAAAAAAAGAAAGCCTGTGAATTTATTACTGCAGAATTGTTCAAAATAACTGGAATCAAAGTGGACGGTATGTATTCTCAAAATTTTAATTAGAATAAACAATGCATATATATTAAAAAAAATTTAACAAAATTTTGGGTCAATATATTTTGTATTATTGAGAATTCGGTTAAAAACTATATTTCTTGGTCACATGTGGTTGATAAATTGCTTAATAGAACATAACTGCAAAAAAGTAATATAAAAATAGTATATTTTATTTAGTATAACATTTTTTTAATACAATTTAAACAAAAAACAAACGAACATCCATGCAGCAAATTTGTATATACTACAATTAATAATAATCTAAATTTCATCAATTTAAAACCGGTTTTTTTTCTATACGTCTCAGAAAGATACAGGCTATCGAAAAGCAATTCTATTGCTCTTTTAAAAATTGTAATATTGTAATTTTGTTTACTGTTAATAGCAATTAAACAATGAAGAAATTTTTGTAAAATTTTTAATTGCAGTATTATGAAAGTAGGAACTCTTAGCTTGAAAATGTCACTTTGAACACTTTTTTAATTTTACTAAAAATAAAAATGAAAAGTTCTTTGCGAAGTCTTAAATTGCAGTAGGGTGGGCAAATCCTACTGATCTAAAAATTCTACACTGGCAGTGTATTTAATATATAAATATATTATGTATTTACATTATATATATTTATATATATATAAATAATAAATTATATTGAATTATTTATTTGATTAAGCACTAGAAGTTCTTTCAAAAGATCTGTCGAGAATAATAAAATTTTAGATGACAAATCAACGGACGAAAACCAATCAATGGTATCAAATGATCCTAGGACTGGCGATTATTTGTTAATGATAAAGGAATCATTTAAACGATTGACACCCAGTGTCAATCAAAAGAGAAAGTGCTTCGAACAGATCGAAGTGATTTTTATTGAGGCGGACAAAAATGTAGCATAAATTTTTCATAAAAATAATTTTAAATGACGCATTTTTTGTAAAATTAAATAATAAAAACAAAAATTTGAGTTTGCTTATTCTTAAATTATTTTCAACAGTTAACACAAACTTCCTATTTTTACATCTGAGTTAGATACTTTAACTGCTTTGAATGTATCAATTTGTTCAGTAGGAAAAATAAGAAATAAATAAATATAAAATAAATAAAAATAAAAAACCGCTGCGAAGTTGTAGTATGAATCTTCTGTGTTCATTGGTTGAACATTTTACTTCCTCATGGTGATATTTTTTATATTCAATCAACTTGTTTTTAATGTGTGAATTTTAATAAATAATATTAACTTTGAATAAAATTTCACGCATAAAAAGCGACAAGTTTCACTTGAACAGGTTTACCAGGGTTGTTACGCTTTTTGAAAAACTGGGAAAAAGGGAAAACTCAGGAAATTTTATTTGGTAGGGAAAAGTGAGAGAAAAAGCATAAAATACCCGCAAAAAATAAAATTCATTAGAAACTGTGACAGCATAAAATTTGGTTTTTTTAAATATTATATTTATAAACTATCAAGTATTCCTAGTACAAGTAAATTGAATAACATCCTAGAAATTATAAAAAAAATGATATCTTATATTTCTAAAAGTTTTAGAGATATAATTTTTTAAACTCAAATTTTAGAGATTAAACTGTTGAAGAAAAAAAATAAAATAGTTAATGAATAGAAATATTTAAAAATAATATATAAAAAATCACATAAATCAAAAAATTTCTCATTAGGGTGAAAATTTAAAAACATATCCTAAATAAAATTAATTATATATTCTTGTCAAAAATATAATATAAATATAATTAACTTTATTATATTTCGATGAATTCTGTATATTTAATAACTGTTTTTTACATAAACCATAGTTTTATGAAGTATGGAAAAATATCATTTTAAGTCCTGGAAAACCTGGAAAATTCATGGAATTTTGTTCCAGAAAAATAATGGCAACCCTGAATCACTATAATAGAGAAATTTTCGCAAACTTTAAATAATTTTTAATGAAATTCTATTTCTTATATCAAAAAAAAATTTATAAATTTAATTCTTTTTAACTTTAAAAATACTAAAACTTTTCAATTAAAATTTTTTTCATTCAAAATTATTAACTAATTAATTAAACTAAAATATTTATTTTTGGCATTTCAGTGTCATTACATATTTCACGCATAATTTTAACGGTTGGTAGCAGTTACTTTGTGACGTCACCAATACCACGTCGCGTCGGCACGACCACGTCGAACGTGACTATTGTAGACTCGACTTCAAGCGCGTTCCACACTTAAACTTTTCGGGCGTCCGACACGACACACGTGCCCCCTCTTCAATACTAACTTCTCCTACGTCAGGAGGGGAATGCATTTGGTAGATGGAGAAGAGGGGGCACGTGTGTCGTGTCGGACGCCCGAAAAGTTTAAGTGTGGAACGCGCTTCAAGCAGCGTCTACAATAAGCGCGTCGGACGTGGACGCGGACGTGTACCTAATGAGAGAGAGGGGTACGGAGATATACATCTTTACCCCTCTCTCTCATTAGGTACACGTCCGCGTCCACGTCCGACGCGCTTATTGTAGACGCTGCTTCATGCTGACTCTACATTGGCTGCGTAAACGTGTACGTGAACGTGAACGTGCTGACGTCACCCATTTGAATAACATTGTAACGTCAGCACGTTCACGATCACGTACACGTTTGCGCAGCCAATGTAGAGTCAGCATCACTCTCAGCGAGTCGGCTATGGTACGGATGCCGGAACCACCAGGTGACGTCATCTCACAGGCTCTCGTTTCACTCCATGCGACAGAGAGAGAGAGAGAGAGACAGAGAGAGCACTTTACGTGACGTCACTCTCTCTTACTCTAATACAACACAAACTCTTTCGCGCCTGCACAAACGTAATTTTGGTAATTTGTTTACGTTTTTACCCTCCTTTGAGCCTTTTACCCTTGTGACTGGTATCATATTAATCGTAATTAATAATAATATTAATTTTAATAATACAATAAAAAATTAAATAAAAAAATACTTAAATAATAATAAATAAAATAATAAACTTGTGATTACTGAAGCTTATACTTTTTAAAAAATTTTCTATTGACAGATGTCAAAAATTAAATTTCAAACAATAGAAATGTCATAATTTTTAAACACTTTTATTAAAATTTAAAATACAAGAAATTTGTAATAAAACTATTCGTAGAACAAAAGATAAATATACTAAATAAAATATAATTAAACTAAAGATAAATTAAAGAATTTGGATCAATTAAATAAATTTAAGATGAACGGAGTATGTAAATTATTTTGGGTTTCTAGAGCAGCAGCAATTCGGATTAAACAAGCGTTTTGTTTTTCCGCCCTTTCACCCTCTAACTTAATTTGCTTTTCCTTCAACTCCAAATCTTTCCGTTTTAATTCTACTTTTTCTCCAAGTAATTCTAATGAAGTTTTGTCTGACAAAAATAATAACTTTTAAAAACTTTCTACAGTTTCTTTATGATAGAATAATTATAGAAAATAAGGACATATGTAGGACATCCATAGAATATTTGCAGATATCGAATAACATTATTAATAGGGAAAGGTAGAGTAATTCTGACCCACTTTAGCCAACTCCATTTTTAAAATATAATAATTGTATTCATTTATAATTATGATGCGTATTTTGAAAGTGCATTTTATAATTTACTTTGTAGCAAGCTTATTAATTTAACGTTATTGGTTTGAAATTAGAGGATGATTAGTAAAAAAATTGTCGATTTTCAGGATTCTGAAAAATTGCGAGTAATTCCGACCTCCGTAAAGGGTAATTCCGATACCCTTGTAAAATAATAATTATGACTGACTACTTTTAAAGGTTTGTATTTATTTAATAAAAAGGGAACAGTTTTTATCTATAAACTGATTGTATATGTTAAGCAATATAACAAATATTTCTCCCAGTGGGCAAAAAACCATCAATGTTTGACTTATCCCCACTCTAGAGATAAAGAATGTAATTCTCATAGTCCCCACCAGGCATCCGAATTGTCGCTTTTTGTCGATAACGGTCATTTGGACAGGCAGGGAGATATCTATTTTTAAGTGTAAAAATTAATTAATTTATATAAATGCGATATCTCTTTTAAAAGTTCATATTATAAGCTTAATTTTGGTGGCATTTTTAATATTTTAACTTTATTAGTTTAAAATTTTCTTTTGGAGGTCGGAAATACCTGACTGGTTATTATTTGCAAAATGTTGTGCAATAAAAAACGCTAATAAATTTTTACTAGAAACAAATTTGTTTTATATAATATGTAGAAACTTGAGACTTACTGAAATGCATGCATTCGATTAATTTCCACTTTAATTTCCAAATGAATTCACTGATTTAATAACACTATAATTTTTATAAGGGACAAGACCAAACAGAAAATTGTCTGCTACATTGTTCATTAGAAAATAAACAATAATATTAATATTTTGTCATATATCTTGTCATAGTCAAGATGTAGTAGGTGGGTCAGAATTATCCCACCTTCCCCTTGTTTTTTCTAAGAACATTATTGAGGTATCCAAAAAGCCAAAATGATAGTGAAAATTTTTTGAGTGAGAGTGAGTGCGAGAGAGAAAAATTTTTGAATGAGAGTGAGAATGATTGTGAAAAATTTATGAGTGAGAGTAAAAGAGAAAAACTTTTGAGTAAGAGTGAGAATGATAGTGACGAATTTTTGAATGAGAGTAAGAATGATAGTGAAGAATTTTTCAATGAGAGTTAGAATAATAGTGAAAATTTTTTGAGTGACAGTGCGAGAGAAAAATTTTTGAGCGAGAGTGAGAGTAAGATTGAGAGTTAAAAATTTTTGAGTGAGAGTGAGAGTGAGGGTGAGAGTTACACTGATCTCTATATAACTGGATGGGCGACTCCTATAGAAAAGTCGCTTCCGGTACTGTGTCGAATTGAAAGGGTGGCCGCCATATTGCATATTCCTGGACGTGGATTGTCATTGTGGTTGTGCGTGTGTGACACGTGTGCGTGTGATTCGTGATTTAGTATTGGTTTTCAGTGATTGTTGACATTGTGACGCGAAATTGAAATATTTTTTTTTATATTTTAAATTAATATTAACATAATTTGAACTTAAGAACTTAAAAAAATGGTTTTAGTATGTGCATATTGTGGGCAAAAAGATGCGGAAGGTGTTTCTTTTCACATGTGAGTACATATTTGCATATATTATTAAACTGTAATATTGTTAGGTTATGTTGTGATCTGTGTTTTTTTTGTTTTTGCTATTTTATATTGCAAATAATTTTCATATAACTTTATCACTTTGAGGAATTATGTAAATTTTATTTATTTAATTATTTTATTCTTTTTTTTATTTACCTCGTCATTTAAATTATAAACTATTAAGCTTATTTTAGCGTATGGGGATATGAGTTTTTACACAATATGTGACTAATTAGTATTCTTTTAATAAATAATATTTTAAACGAAAATACATATTTTATTAATTTTACCGCATATAAAATTAATTAAATTCTTAGTTCTTAATTCTTAATTCATAAATTAACATGATAATAAGAACGTGTAAGTCAAAACGAGTGACATATAGCAAAAAATTCATTCTATGCAGAAAGATGAAATAATAATATATTATAGATTTAAGAAATCTAAAATGTGATTCAATTTTTTTGTTAAAGAAAGTAAACAATTTTCTATCGTACATATGTTAAACATTTTCAATTTTCAGATTTCCAAAACGTTTGGAATTACGTCAGTTGTGGATTAAAAACATGGGCTTTGATGATAATTTCGAAATAACTTCGAATTCAAGATTATGTAGCGATCACTTTGACGAAAAATGTTTTACAAAGACAAATGACCGAGAAAGAATCCATTCAGAAAGTGTACCAACAATATTTAGTAGATATTATTTGAAATGCATTTGCTGCGATAACGTTAAAAAGACAGGATGCATCTTACCTTTTCGCAAGTAAGTATGAATAAAAATAAATTTTTGTAGTTTATTTTTTTGTAGTAATACTTTTAAACATATTATAATAAATGTTTATCTAAATTTTTCAATATATTTAGTTTAAATTAATATTGAGTTAATGATTGGCAAGCTTGCATGTATCGTTATAAAATTCTTTTTTTTTCTAAACTTTTGTTCTTATATTTATGTTAAATATTCGCAGATTCCCATTCAAAAATCAATATCTCTTAAAAGTATGGATAAAAAATATAGGATTAAAAGATTTTTGTCCTGATGAAAGAAGTCTCATTTGCGATGATCATTTTGAGGAACACTGTTTCTATAAACGAAAATCAGGTGGACTTATTTTGAAGTCAAATGCTTTTCCAAATTTATTTCACACGAACATTTCGAATGGTATGATTAATATTTTGATTTTAAATTTATTATAAATGTTGCAGAATGGGTCACAAATTTTCAAACAGATCACCTAAAATTTTTACAAAATGATTATTTTTCAACCTTAAATATTTTCTTTTATTTCTAGATTAATAGAAATAATTTTCTGAATAATTTAAAGTCCACAAATTTTTTTAAAATTATTAACAATTTAATTTTTTAACAGTATAAAATAAAAAAAAATTTCTCGAATAATTCAGTTGACCAATTTAGAAATCAAAGAAAGGATATTTTTTATCTTAAAATGTATGTATTTTACAAAAATAATTTTTTTTTAAATTTTATTTTTAATAATTTTTGCATTGTTTACTAATAAAATGTTAATGGAAAATTATGTTCTTCATGTCTCATAAAAAAATGTTAAGAAAAACTTTCTAAAAATTGAAAAATAAGTTAATCAACAATAATTTTATTTATAAAATATTTAAATAATAATAAAAAAATTTCTTTTTGGTTTAAAACTTTATGAAACTTATTGTAATCATAATTGAAATAAAACAAAAATTTACTGTTGAAAATTTTTTTTAGGTTATCCGTTTGAGAAATTTTGACACAAATATAAAATATCTATATGCAATTACATTAACATTTCATTTAATTATACAAATGCAAATTTTTCATATTAGGTACATTAATATCGATTAATTTTTTGATAAATTACAAATAAAAAGAAGTTTGTAAAATTCTTAAGTATTTTGTCAATAGCTGGATAAGAAGTTATAAAATAATCCTGGAGCTCTTTTCAATACAATATAAAAAGATATAATACTTTAAATTGGACTTCATGTATTCTGTTATGTGGATTTCATAATATAATGATCATTTTTAGATTATATTTGCGTTAATGAAGTTACTCAACCAGATGCTGCAGACACTTCAGTAGAAGAAAATTCCATAAGTGAGACTATAATGACCGGAGTTTTAAATAATAAACGTTCTTCTTCGTTAGAGAATTTACAAAATTCGAAACGTTTAAAATTAGACGTGAATGAAGAAAATTCTCCAGTAGAAGCAACACGAATTTTAACTGAAAAACGTTCGTGTTCAGTGGAAAACTTGCAAAATACGAAATATGTTATATCAGGTAACAATGAGATAATTCTGTAAGTATTAAATTAATTTGTAGATAACAAGAGGGTTAAACTAGGAAACATTTTAATGGTAATTTTTAAATATATAACTAAAGAGTAAGTTACTTTATATAAGCTATGTATTATTTATGTGAATACTTTTTTTTAGATTTGCAATCGTCACTTGAGTCTACACCAATTCCAAACAATGAAAAAACTCCTCAAATACCAACAACTCCACAAAAAAGAAATATCTTGAACCATGATCATCACTATCACTCTAGTCCCAGAAGCTTGACGAGAAGGTATATTGGGATCCGACAGAAGCTATTTTTTTTCATTATTTCGTATATTTGTTTCTAATTTCAGAAATATATTGTGAGAATCGTTTATTTATTTTTGAGGTGGTGTTTGTATTTTTTATAATTTAATACTTTAATAATTATTACTGTACGAGGTATTGTGCACATACTTTTTCATTAAGCTTCATGAGACTGAAGATTTTGTAATGTTTTTTTTTTAATTTCAACTTTGATTGTTACACATATTTAATATGTTTATTTATATGTTTTTTTTAAATTTGTACTGTAGAAAACGATTGGAAACATTTATTTTTATTCATAATAACGATGTTCAGGATTGTTCTATTTTTCTTAATATTAAAAGTTAAAGTTTTTAATTTTTATATTTTTTCTGTCAAGATGTTTTTCAAACTTCATTTTCATATTTTTGTAAAAGCGAAAAATATTCTTGAGGTATATTTTTGTTGTTGCAGTATGGGTTAATTTATTTAAAAGTTTATTTGTATGCATATTTTTTATATTTTCCTACTGCAAAAACTCATTGTAAATACTCATTTCTTTCATGGTGAATGATATATGCTTGACTTCTTTTTATTTTTCCTTCATATTATTATTATTACTTTATTTGTATGTGTTTGGTTTGAGTTTTATATTTCGTACTGTAAAAAATTTTCTGTATTCGTTATTTAAAACTACTCTTGATATAAATATTCTATTAATTTGATTTATTAATTCTATTTCATTTATTTCTATTATATTGACATTAACTATGTACTAATTTAATTCTAAACCCTTTCTGTTTAACTTTCACAGCTATTTCAGGTCTCTCCTTACATAAAAGAGATTGATAACTAACTTGCTTGGAATTTGCAAGAATAATTTGTACATTGATAATAATAATAATAATAATATTGTACAGAATTGTACGTCAATCAATTGTGAGTATCCTATATTTGGGCCCCAAATTTATAAAATAGAAAAACATCGATTCAACAACCAAAAAATGATCCTGTGTCTTATAAGTCGCCTCATCTTATACAATGTATTTTTATATATTTACATTTAATAAATTTAAATACATATATACAATTCAAATATACATATATGTTTATTTTATATTTACAGGTCAAGAAATTTTACTTTCATTTTCACAGAGATTTCTCTAAAATTGAGAAAAAAAATTTAATATATTAATTTTATTTAGAAGAAAAATTTTAATATTTCAGTTCTTTAATATTTACATTATTTTATCCATATTTATATTATCATTAATTGATTAATTTCCAAAATTAAATTAATAGCTCTATTTATATCATTAAAATTATTAATTATTATTATTTATCATTAATTAAATAACACTAACATCAAAATTATTAATTTATTGCTTAATTTTAACGCAACTAGATGTTTGTAATATTAATCAATTATTTACTTACATTAACAATAATTTTTTAAAATTAAATTATTGATCATTAATTAATTTTTTTTATTAAGTGTATATAAATCTCATTATATTATTTGAATTTACGCGCCATTTTTGAACAAAAGGGAATTTAAAAAATGGCCTTTCCGGTCTTCTAGTCGGCTCATGTGTCGACACCCGATCGCCCATCCAGTTATATAGAGATCAGTGGAGAGTTACGAGAACCTGTTTTTCAATTATACTTTTTTTAAATTTTAGTTATTTTAGCAAATTTTGCAATAATTTTTCTTTTTATTTCTTTAATTTTTTAGTTATTTTATTCACTTTCTCAATAATTTCTTAACTGTTCCATAATTTTTTCTTTTTGTAGTAATTGTCTTAGTTAGTCAAAATTAAATTTTTAAATAATTTTTGGCTTTTTTCATATATTTTTCAATAGTTTCTCAATTTTTTAGTAACTTTCTCATAGTGTCTGACAATGAAGTTTTATAAAGTTATAAATACTTACTTTTACTTTATAATTTCAGTCCTTTTTTTAAAAAAAATTTTAGAAAATTTGTTATTTTTTGAAATTTTTGAACTGACTTTTAATATTACTTTTTTTAAAAGAGTAATATTGTTTATTGTTCTAATTTTTACAAAACCATACAAAGAGTTTCGAAATTAGGCCCAAATACAATGTACATAAATAATTGACAATTCACAAAATTCTAAAATCGCAATTCAATTATAAAAATATAATATACAGTAATTATAGTCTATTGCGCCACATAATGAGACTGCAGTTCAAGGACTTCCCGGTTCTAATGCTATGTGTGAATAGATCTGCAGGTAACTGGATTTGGATAAGTCCTATCTATCTCTCTTTCTTAACATTTTATCTCATATAAACAAAGGATTTCTTTTTTATTAAACATAATACTTTCAGCACTCAAACTCTCCCATTACTGTTCTCCGTTGCATTCTAAAAAGAATTGTTTCACTTGAGCTACCCAGTTATACTCGAGACAGTGGTACTTTTCCCGTCTCGATTCTAACATCATATCCCGGGGTTGTGGTTGGAAGACCCAACACTCTTTTATAAAACTGTACCTGAACTTTTTCTAGCTCATCACAATATGTCAATCCCCAAATACCTATCCCATAAAATAACACTTCAAGATTAGTGCTTGAAAATAGTGTGTCTTTTGCAAACCAAGAATCTGATCTAGCTGCTGACAGTGTATCAAAAACAGTACTTGCGACCATGTTACATGCCTTTAAAATTTCCTCTGAATTCTCCCGACAAATCCCCAAATTTGAAAAATAACATCCTAAATATTTGAACTTTTTAATAACTTCAATATTTATATTCTCGTAGTTAGATATCGTAGATCTCGTAGATATTTTTAATTATTATTATTTTTGCGCCCATTCCCATGTGAAATAATTTATGCTTTAATTTATTGTGGTTGACTAAAGGGAATGCTCTCCGAAAATCGACGAAGGCCTCGTATAATTTGCCACCGGGTCTACGCAACTTAATCTGAATTATTGAATTTATAATAAAAATATTATCTAAACATCCTCTAAATCCTGAATAAGATTCCGGTATTATATTGGTAATATTCGCCCACTTCTTTAAACGATCATTTAAAATTTCTGTCAAAATCTTGGACACAGAATTCATAAGCGCAATACATATGTAGTTATCAGGTACAGTTTTGTCACCCTTTTTATAAATCATGAAAGCTATCACTTGTCTCCATGAAGTGAGTACTTTTTTTGATTTTAAAATTTTGTTAAATAATTGCTCTATATACAAACACCAGTTTTGAGGTAATATTTTAAAAAATTCATAAGAAACTGTATCTGCTCCCGGGGCTTTTCTTTTTTTACATTTTTCCAAACATTCCATGTAAGTCCATTTTTACCGAATTATCCGCGTGTTTACATTAAATTATTATTTCAGTTAATAAATCATTAAAGTTTTAATTATATTAAAATTTGGAATCCAAACAGTGCGCGTGCCCATCACTTGAACGAGAGACGCGCAAAAAGAACGTGTTCCATGTGTGTCCACCGGTTCGCAGTGTGTATCACACGTGTTTAGATATCACCATTACCACAGCTTTATTATTTTCATTCCAATTGAAAAAAGTAAGTAAAATTTAAGTTTAAAACATTGAAAAGTGTTTAAGATTTTATTGGATTTGAAATGTTTCATTATGTAGTTTCATTTAAACTTACTAACTACTATGAACATACGTTTTATTATTTATTTAGTTCATTTAGATATTAAGGGTGGAAGATATTTTGAGGCAGTGGAACTTCGATGACACTGTTATACAATCATTTGAAGGTAAGAGATGTCGTTTCTTTATTGTGCATAATAAATTAATATTTTATTTGATTTTATTCTGTATCATAACTGCAAATTCTCAATTTAATAAATATTTGTATTTATTTATTTTTTGTGTTGCAAAATTTTGTATTTTTTTTATTTTTAAACACTTTTTATTTTTGCAAATTAAATACCTAAAATTTTTATTTTCTCAATTTAATGTAATATTTTTCTAATTGTATAACATTTAGATAATGCTTTATTTATTAAATTCAAGTGTAGAATTTAATAGATCCTATAATTAATACATGAAAATAAAATCAAGTTTTAAAAACCGTCTTAAAACAGTTTTAACTGGCTTAAATAATAAAATTTCAGATAGCAAAATAGATTTCGAATCTTTTCTGCTGTTACATGATCAGGCAATTGAAAAGCTAATAAAAAACTTGAGACCTCAACTTAAATTTAAGAAAAAGTTTCAAGATTTAATGCAAGGGGTATTTAATATTATTTATACGATTACAAATTTTTTTTTTATGTTTGTGTTTAGTAAAACAATTTCTTTTATAGAAAATAAGTAAGGGAGAGTTGGTAGTGGCGAGACACGTTTTGTTTTTTTGTTATAGCACTCACATTTTCAAGAACATCAAGTCTGTATATATATCCATGGACAGGTGTGACTCTATACTGCAAATTTAACTTATATAGTTACAGAACAGATATTGGAAAAAAAGTTATTGCCGATTTACGATAATGTCTCGCGACTACTGACATAAAAAATCGTCCGTAGTGGCGAGACACTATCTTAAAATCAGAGTCTTCATCGTTCAAACGTAACAAAAACAAAGGAATTAAAGAGAAAGAGTATAATAATTGATGCCTTTAAATCATAATATTGTTTTATTCAATCATAAAAATACAGGCAAATATTTTTCTGATTGTGATCCGCTAATCCATGTCACAGTTATTAACAACAAATAAGCTTTTCTTCCTGTTCATCTTTTTTAATTTTAACTATAGTTATAAAAAATATTGTCGACAAAACGTACAAAAATTATATCAAATTTATTAGGACCCAAATAACATTCATGCGTCTCACGTTAGTCGCATGTCAGGCGTCGCATTTTGTGTTTGAATTAATGCACCTTAATTGCGTGCATTGAATTGGCATATTGGTGTCACAAAATGCGTCACATTTGAGAGTTCACATGTGTACATGTAATGCCGGCAGTTACGTGCTCTTAAGTCGCCTGTATCTCGCATAACGTGTGTCGCATTTTCGTGCACGCATAAAAGTACCTTTATTACATTCATGTGAGTGCTGCTTTATAGATGCATTTCGTGCGTGCTGTAATATATGTAGAGTGAGCGTTAGTCTGTCAATTGTCAGCGTCAGTATTGATTGTGCAGTCAGTGGATCAACACTTGAATTTGTTGTGAAACAATAAGTGCGCTACCCGGCTACCGGCAATCAACAATTTGGCGTTATTGTTTTTAGTGGATGTCTATAGTGCACTCTACCCTACTGCGCATGTGAAAAGTTCAATTGACCTTACTGCGCATGTCCAAAGTGCACTCTACCCTACTGCGCATGTGAAAAGTTCAATTGACCCTACTACCCATGTCTAAAGTGCATTTAACCCCACTGCGCAAGTTTAAAGATAACAGATTCTACGTCGCATGTGAAAACTTTAATTGACCTTACTGCGCATGTGAAAAGTTCAATTGACACTACTACGCATGTCTAAAGTGCATTTAACCCCACTGCGCATGTATTAAGTGCACTTAACCCCAATGCGCAACTCCAAAAATCAACGGAGTCTACTGCGCATGTGAAAACTTTAATTGATCTTACTGTGCATGTCTAAAGTGCATTCTACTTTACAATATTATTAGATATAAAAAAGCCACTGCCGACAACAAGTGTCTCGACAAGGCGGAAACAGCATTTTTCGATAATGACGATGTACAATCCTATCCATCGAACAATCATTCATAATGCTCTGGAAATTTTGAAGGAAACTTAAATACTAAAGACTCAAAACATTTAACCCTTCAGAAAATTCCGGAAATTTTTATATATTATCACTTATACCGATGGGAAATAAAACTTTTAAAATATCTTCAAACTGTTATTAGCAGTATAGCGATATTTCGTACATCAAAAACGTATGTATCATATTGAAAAGTTAAAGCACAATAAAACTTAACTTTCAGACCAGAAGTGCCAGCACAGTCAGTTCAGCTGTCTGAAATATCCTAATGTCTCGCCACTGC